GCTTATTTTACTTAATATAATATGGAAAAACATGATCTAGAAGGGCACTGAATCACTGAAGGGCCTCAGTTCCATGGCAATTGGTGTGGGTTTGTTCGTAGTAAGAAGAGTCATGATGCTCTCTATTCATTCATTGCCAAAGTGGCCTTAATATCATCCAATCCATAAAATCGAAATAGAAAATATCAACAGGACAAACCACTGGTRTCATGCACTTGCTTTGAAATCCATCTTCAGGTCAAGGAGTTGAAGTAAGCTAAAGTAATAGAATAAAATGAGTATCTTATAATCAAATGGTATGTTTGAGAGCTGGAATAAAAAGACTGGACTTCATGTCTTTAAAGTAGATTTTTAAATGCAACTTAAAATTCATGTCCTGGAAAGTCAACTTTTGTTTCTAATAAAGATAAAAGTCTTAAGAGAAAGAAGAGAAGGAAGAGAAGGAAGAGAAGGAAGAGGAAGTGGAAGTGGAAGAGGAAGAGGAAGAGGAAGAGGAAGAGGAAGAGGAAGAAGAAGAAGAAGAAGAAGAAGAAGAAGAAGTCGTCTTTCAGTTAAATGAAAGCCAGAAAATAAATTAGTTGACCTATTTAAATCTACTTAAGAAACAGTGGATGAATATTCAGAAATCCCACCAACTACTTTTGCAATCCACAAAAGTTAAAACACAAAAGATCATTCTATTAAGAAAAGGGGGAGGTGGAAATTCTGCAAGAATAAGGAGGATGGCTTCTGCTTCCAGCTCTGACAGAGTAAAGGCACTACACTTATCATCCAGATGATTAGAGGAAAATATGGTCAAAGTGAATAATTAGGTGAGGAATCTCAAGAAAGTAACAGGACCAATAAAGGACCCAATATAAATTCCAAAACTTAAAAGCATAGTATTTTAAATAAAAATCTAGTAGATGAACAAAACAACCAACTTGAGATGACAGAAGAATCACTGAACTTGAAACCAGATCAAGAGATTAAATATAAAAAATAGATATGAGGCACTGGAGTMATAGCCCAGTCATAGTAGAGCACTTGCCTAGCATGTATAAGGGTACTGGGAGTACCCTTTGCTGGTTCTGGGTTTGATTCTCAGCACCACATATAAATAAATAAGGATTCACTGAAAACTATATAGATGTGAGGAAAAGAAAAGGGAAAACATAAGTCTTGGTGACATGTGTGACAATATAAGCAATCTAACAAACATGTAATTATCACCCAGGAAGGGGAGGACAGAGAAGACATGGAGTAGAAAAATATGTGAAGAAATAATGATCCAAAATTTCTCGATTTAGAGTAAGACAACCAACCAACAACATAGAGAAATATAAGACCAATGAAACATATACAACAATTTAAGTAAAATTACAGGTGGACACATCATGATTAAATTGCTGAAAACCAAAAAGAAAAAGATTTGTTAAAAGTGGCCAGAGAAAAATGACATTATATAAAGGAAGCAAAAATATACAGACAATACCTGATTTATCAGAGGGCCGTGTCCTCATAAACCTATCATATGTTGAAAATGCACTAAATTCACCAAAACTACTGACTCTCACAGCTTAGAGGCACAATTCACTACAGAGTATCAGTTTGTTTACTCTTGATATCACATAGCTAACTGCAAACCATGGTTCACTGCTGCTGCCTAGAATCACCAAGAATATCATACTTTATATCACTACCTCAGCAAAAGATCAAAATTCAAAATCTGCTATAGGTTTCTACTGAATGTGTACTGCTTTCAAAATTGAAAACTCTGCTAGGGCAAGTAGCCACACCTTTTGGGGCCTTGCCTGTACAATTGCTAGCCTCTTGTGAAAGGGCACATACATGCACCCTGTGGAATCTGAGGACCTGTTTAATCATTCAGGTCATTCTGCCCTTTTTGGCCTGGCACTACTAGAGGAAGCTCACATAGCAGCTAAATGATCCTTGGAGCAGCTCATGAACACATGCACAGCACTGGAGACATGATATGTCCCTGTTAATTTATACAGGAAGGTGGTAGACCCCCTTCTGGAACGTGAGGAGGGGACTGGGAGTACCCTTTGCTGGTTCTGGGTAAGCCACCCACATTCCCAGGATGAATTTTTTCCACAGCCCACCCACACACGGGAGGGTGGATTTATGTCCTTATATGGTTTGCCTCCTTACAAGGTAACATTGGTTCCATTTCACCTTTTCTTCTCCCAACCTTGCTCATTTATAGCTATCTACCTATGCTAACAAAAGAAAAAATTACAAATGTAATTAGGAAATATCTTAGGGGCTGCAGATGTGGCTCAGTGGTAGAATTATTGCCTCAAATGTATAATGTCCTGGGTTTGGTCCTTAGCATGAAAGCAAGCAGGCAAGAAAGCAAGGATGTAAGGAAGACCAAACAATAAAGAAAATACCGCATGGAAATCTGTGAGATGCAGCTGATACACTACTTAGACAGAAAATGTATATCTTTAAAATTGACACTAGAAAAGAAAAACAATTATATTAAGCTTCCATTTTAATAAGCTAAAAATAAATTAAAAAGCAAGTTAGACTAAAGAAAGGAAATCAATGAAATAACACAAAAAAAACAACAGAAAAATAAAGCCAAAGTTGGTTCTTTGAGAAATTAACTTCTGACAAATTTCTGTAAGGATGTCTAAGTAAACAGAAGGAATTATCAAAACCTGAAATAAATAAGGGGATATAACTATAGAACCTACAGATATTAAAAGGAACTAACTAAAATGAACAATTTCCTACTTGTCTCACCAAAATTTTTGAAACAAGAAAGAGAAGATCTGATTAGGCCAACATCTGCTAAAGATAGTAAATTCATTATCAAAATTCTTTCTACAAAGAAAATCAGTTAGACAGTAATTCAATGAGACATAAGGGTGAAAAGAAAATAATTTACACACTTTCAAAAACAGGAAGAGTAAACACTGCACAGCTCATATCATGAAATCAGCATAAATTTTCATACCAACTTGAAACTTTATGTTTATCCATTCATCTAACAAATACTATTAATATGTACCATGTTCCAGGTAATTAAGCAACCTGTCTTTGGCTTCTTTAGCAAGAGAAATTTTTCTGTGACTATTTCTTGCAAATTTCTCTCTTCCATTATAAGTGAACCACTCAATTACTTACACTAATTTACTAGTTTATCAGTTTCTCAGATATTTTTTTGCTCAAATCAGGTATTCCCTAGCTTGAAAGAACTTAAAACTTTCTTCTTCTGGAAACCCTCATGAGGCACCATGAACTTCTTTAAACTACAGACTGCTAAGGCTCCATGTGATTCTTACAGGTCCTTGAAGGTTTTCTATCACATAAAGCCCTAAAATTAGGATTTAATCTCCGCTMTACTTAAATAATTTGCTTATACACGTGACCTTGGGCAAATAACTTAATTCCTCAAAGTTCCTAATTCCTTTTCTGTAAAATGGGGGTAACGGTAGCACCTGAAACAAGGCCATCCTCTTTAAGCACCTGGCATGTCAACAGCTGTTATCATAATCACCCCTGGATTTTTACTTTGATTTTTTTTTCCTTTTAACAAAACCCTCTAATAATTTTCTTTATATTTGAGTTAAATATACAACCATACTATGGTTATTTATTATCTACCAGCATATTAGCATTCCTATCTTTGTGCCTGCAGGACAAATTTAAGTATAGAAAATAGGAAAAGAGGGAAGAGGAAGGAGGGACAGGACTGCTTACAGTTTAGCAGAATAACAATTCATAAAACATATGTAAATAAAAATTTATATATATATTTTTTTAAATATATGAATAAAAAGATAAATAACTTGTAACAAGGGATGAGTGTACTTTATAACATTATTCACCATAGGATTAATCTTTAAAACATGAAGAGTACACTGTAAATGATTTATTAACATTCAATTTACAGGAAACTTTTTTACTTACTCCATYAAGGTAGGAAATCATACCAACCGCTGTTTCTGGAAATATTTCCCAATCAACCTCCACCTGAGGGGTCTATATCATTAGTATAACTTTCCTTTCTACAAACATCACATGGGCAGACAGTCTGCCTGCATCCTGGGGGGAAATAGGCAACTAAATTAAAAGAAAAAAAAGTAAAAAAGATCATTCCCCTTCTTGTTTTCTTTTCCAGGTGTTATACCCATCGCCTTTCTACCAAGACAGATCAATTAACTCAGCAACATTAAGTTCCAGCTGTTGCTCARGAAAAACAAGGAACAGAACACTCTGAATATTAAAGGGAAAGGCAGCAACCCATACCTCCCTCAATTTGGAGAAAAGGTTCTGCTAATTAGCAGTAACAGAAAGGACTGAAGCTATTTCCCAGTCCCAGAGAAGCAAAAGTGTGAACTGGAATCCCACAGAAAGTTATCAGCTCTGGATCAGAGGGAGATGTGCTCACAGCAGTGTGTGTGACCGTACTCAGAATACCTGTGTGTTCTGAGACTCTACTGCCCATTTGTATGCACAGTGACCATACAAATGCTGTTAACCCAGTATGATAGATAAGAAATCACCTTACTCCTAAATTTTGTGTATTCCTAATTCTGCTATTATTGGGAAGAAGTGAATCAATCAGATCAATATCACAAGTTTGAGAGAAAAAGTGTGGTATATGAATCTTAATTTATAGAGTACAAAGTAGCATGCAAAATAAGCATAGAAATTCTCCATCCATACTTTTAAGATTTGTGCATTCTACTATAAGTAAAATACACTTCAAAGATGGAAAATAAAATATAAAATTAATAAAGAATATGGAAAAAAAGCTCTTAATTTTTAATATGGTTCTTAATTAGGTGTTTTATTTTAAGGACATGAATTAATTTTATTCACTCCAGTTTTTATATTTTCCCTTTTTTAAAGTTTAGCATGTCTCATATAATATGAAGGACTTATGCTTCTTCTACAATTCAATGCTGACTCTAATAAAAATTAAATCAATGGGTTGGCTCCTCTGGTCTAAGTGGATAGCCTCTTTCTGTGGAGTAACTTACCACAGGTAGCGTGAGCCAGGTGGCCACAAGGCGGTTGTTGATCCAGCGATACCAGGATGGGTTTACAAACATCAAGGGTAAAAAGGGACCCAGCATGAAAATGCTTCCAAAAAAACTTCCCCAAAACAGAAGGAGTATAAAGTAAATCCCTTTCCATGACACCATGATTCTGAAAAACATAAAAAAAAGACATTTTGTTACTATACATTTAACTACTCAAATTCTATATCAGCATGATGCACATAATAATTTTTAATTACAGGGCTATTGAGAGGTTCTGATAAAGGATATAAGAGCCTGAATTTCATAGAGATGACCCTCCAATACATTCTACATGTCTAACAACCACTAGTACATTAGGAATTGATACTCTTAATAGTATATGCCTGATTCCAGAACAAAATTGTCTAGTTAAGGAGCCTTTTTTATCGATTAGTACTGGGTGTAAAGTGGTATGCTATCGTCTCTGGGATATTATCTAACACAAAATCTTAAAATATTCCAGAGCTTTTGGTTACCCAGAAGTAGAAATACTGAACAAAGAAGTGCAGAATAGCTTCCTAAGGTCAGGAAACCTAAAAGCAATAATTTTTTAATTTTTTTTTAATCTAGGAATTATCCTTCTTACATTAGATTATAAAATAACACCTTTGGACACTAGGTATTAAACTGGATCTTTATGAGCTGCAGGAGTAAGGAGAAGTCAAGATTCTTCAATAAACTATTTACCAAAGGATTACTTTAAGGGATCCTCATAACTAGAACATAATGTGGATATTATAAAACAAATGGTTAGAAACACTATTTAAAATGAAAAATCAAACACTTTTGATTTTATAATCTAAACTACCTTAGAGTAAAAATATTTTTTGCTAAAGGATAACAAAAGTGTCAGAAATATTAGAGTTATGGAAACAACAATGGCCTCAAAATTCATGTGTTTAAAAAGGTATCAAGATCCCAGAAATTTTTAAAAAGAATCACAGCAGGAAACAAATAAAATTTCAAATGTCATGGTGCTTTTTAAAAATGTCAAATAACAAAACAGGTCAAATACCCGTTACCAACACAGAATCAAGTTTATCTGGGTTCCAAGCGTATTTTAAAATCTCTACCAATACCTGACAGTGTGTATACAAAATCCTTCAAAGTACAAACAGAACAAATATCTATTAAGAATTGCTTTTATAACCTTCAGATCTGAACTTTTCAGAAGTGAGGTGAGGGAGTAATGGTGAAGAAAAAGATTGCTGGGAAATGGGGCCAAACAACTCCAGCTCACCCAGGGCTTGAAGAGGTCTATGTTCTAGTACATCCTACACTTCCTGTTTTCTGAGTCTCAGGTCCTTTTCCTGGCACTAAAAGAAACTATAAACAGCTCCTCCCCAATCTTCAATTTAACTTAATCCCTTTGTATGGGAAAGAAAAAACAAAAACTTTTAAATTCAGTATTTTCAACACCTGTCTTCCCCTAACAACAACCATAATCATATTCCTGTAATACTTCTACTATTTGAAAAATCCCTATCTTTTTCTATCTGCTGGTTTTTTCCTGCCAATCAGCCAACAGCAAGCTTTCTGTCTAACACTGGCTCCTCCCATCCCTGCAGCAACACTTCACACTGTGTCCAAACAAGACTGCTTCTGTATCAAAGAAAGGCTCTGGTCTGCGTCTTCCTCAATTATCAATTGATTTGATGTGATTTAAAAAAAAATCAAAGGAATTTAGCTATCTACTGAAATCTTTTCATTGTATAATGATAAAGCTGCAGCCCAAGAGAATATGGCTTTCCTAAATCCACACAGTTAATAACAACCAATCTTTTCTGCCTACTGCTTCTTCCATTACATCATGCTACCTCCTAAGAAGCCAAAATTCCAAGATCCATGTTAATCTTTCAGCATGTATTTTTTTTTKGGGGGGGGGGSSGKKKTTWMYKGGRMYTKRA